CTTTGCTATTAAGCCCATGTTAAGTTCTATTGCTTTCAAAAGTCACATAATTAGTGAAATGAAGTGCAGGTGTGTGCGGTCTTGCATGATCCATCAGTGTAAACATATGATTGCTGAAAGGCCTCAGAAGCTGCAGCCCTACTAAGCAAAATACTCTCCAAACAAGTCGGGGGACAGAGTTGTTGAGTGTTACAAGTCAAGGTTGTGTTGTAAAGGCGTATCCAAACCGTTAAATCCATCTTAAAATGGAAAGCATGTTAAACCACAGCAAACCTGCCTAGTGAGGGCCACCCACCAGAACGTAGACGGGGTAAGGAGGGCATAAATCAGAGAGGAAGCATACAGACCAATGGGGTTAGCGTTCCGTCGCAGAGACTGCTGTGAATAGGACCGCAATAAGCTGTAAAGCAGGACTTTGTGAAGTCCGAAGATCCACTGTGAAGGAATCTGTCTGTCTGAATCTTGATTGTCTTTGTTCTGCTCTGCGGATTTTATACTCTGCCCTTTAAGAAGCTCCTGGATTAAAGTAGTTTTTTTCAGATGAAAGTCACTATAAGGAAGGAACAATTTTAGCATTTGATGCAGATTGACCATGTAGGTGCTGCTGAAAACTGCAAAATTACAGGAAAAATACACTTTTTCTTTTTTTAGACAAATAGAGCTACAGTATTTTCTGTCCTCCTCCTCCACTTATTGCTAAGTAGGAAGAGCTATTTTTTTTTTTCTTTTTTTACAGTCTGGAGTTGTTTTGTTCTAAAATGTCAAAGGAAAGGTTAGTGTGGCATCCAGCAGTGGTCTGGATCCATTTTTGATGTCCTCATTAGATATTTCTGTCACAGATAAATCTGTCAGCCTCATTCAGCACACCAGCCATAACCGACTGATGCTGCATGCTGCTTTTTGTTGCTTGGACATTTGGTCTTTTTTATGTAATTGATTGAAAATGTAATAGGTTGGGGGGGGGGTTCTTGTTTTTTTTTTTTGTTTTTTTTTTCTAGCAGTATCTTTTTTTTGTCAGTAAAACTGGCATATCTACTGGTGTTCAAGCAAAGAAGATGTAAATGAAATGTTTTTTCAGATGTTTCCTTTAACCTGCTGCTTTTTTTTGAAGGAATTTTCTATAATTTTAGCTGTTTTGATCAGGAGTCAAAATCAAATTTCTTAAAGGTACAGAGAGCAAATTTGCAGGATTCCATTTCTCCTCATGCACGCTCTGTTTAAAAGTTTGCAAGCTTACTGTGTCTGAACCTCAGCTCTAACACCCAAGTCCCTCAATCACTGTATAGAAAGGGGACTATATAGGGGACTTTATAGTGAACTCGGTTAACTTACCGTTCGGACAGATGATCACTACTTCTCCTTCCCTGTTGGTCACGTAACTCCTCCTCCACTGAGCGGTGCCTGCGCCATCATTATTTGTCGCCGCTGTCAGTTAGGGACAGCCTATCATGATAGCGGGCCGCTGTGACAGCAAATCCCATACTGCTTTGCAAGGAGAGCTCTCTGCGTAAAGCATTCTGCGATGTATCTTCCTCTTCTGAGGCCTTTCTTTTCTTCTCATACACTTCGTAGACACTTTTTCTCCAACGACCCTCGGCAATTTTTAAAGAAAGGTGAGCTTCAATGACTGTCTGAAACCGTAGCTCCCCACAGATATACACCTGAAAGTGCGCATGTGCAGAAAAAGATAGCTAACTAGGGATGAGCGCGTAGGATGGCCTTACGTAAACACATCACCAGGATGATTGACAGTTAGGAGGACCACTTATTTAGATGATCCACCAGGAAACAAAAGATGGTCCTCTTTACCTTTAAGAATTAAAAATGTGGAATCAAATTTTGCTTAAAATAACCCACAATTATTTATAATTTATAAGATTTGAGCACTTTTTAAATTATTATTCCATGTAAGTCATCAGAATGCCAATAGGACCAGAATGATGGGCATACGTGGGTATGAAATGGTTTGTTTAGGGGTAGAAAATGGCTAAAACAGTAAAGCCTGGCTATCAATTTGAGTTTGGATGGGAAAGCTGGTTTTATACCAGTTTTGGGAACTTGAAAAACTCTATGTACTTAAAAGTCAGTAATAAGAGTTTTTTCACCAGTGAGAGTTAGCTGATCTGGGGCCCATTTCATTGAAACAAAGATAAGGGTTTAAATCTGGATTTTTTTTTTCTAATATCATGGCCAAATTAAGCCTCAACTCAGTTTCACAAAAGCAGATACACATCAGTTAACACTGTGATTTAGACCAGACTAACAGCCAAGCTTACTCAAACCTGGTCCTGCGTCTGCTCACTTTAGCCGTAATGATTCAAAATAGTTTAAATAAAAACTTGATATTTTGAATATGTGCTTAAAAATTGAGTTTTGCTCAGTATCTTGATTGCTGGAGCCAATTTGGCAGAAACTGGACCCTTGGTTCATATTTGGCCAGCTCCCAATTTCAGATGGAGCTCAGTCATAAGATAAAGCCAGAAATACCTCAAACATTGTATAAAGCCACAAAATAGGGGGCAGCTTTTCTTTAAGCACTGCTTATGTTTAATTTCACACTAAATATGTGGTACAAACTGTGAGTATTAGCCCTCTCGAGCTCATCAAGTTTACATCAAAGCCGATCGGTATGGATTCCTGTTGAGGCATCGCAGTAGAAGCGAGTTCACTAATTGGCTCCTGCTCAGACGTCCTTCCTGGATAATTGCAGGCTGTACTCATCTCCGTCACCGTTTTATCTTCATTAACGTATGTTTTTCCATCTGATAAAGATGTGGACTTGTGTTTTCAGGTGGTGGTGAGGCCCACTGTGAAGGTTGTATAGAGTACTGCTGTGACGGCTCGCCACCGTTCTGCTGCTCCTACTATGCCTACGTCGGGGACGTCCTCTCGTAAGTGAACACGCAGACAAAATGTTACTAGAACAGCATTTTTTCTTTATTTAAAATCTTTTGAATGCACTTTTTCTTCATTTATTTAATTCCCTTGACATTTCTTTGAGGTTTTTGATGCTTTGGAATGATTTTTAGAGTTTTTAACATACTGGATAGAAACTTAAGTAAGGTAGGTGCTGCTCAAGCCTTTACAGTAGCAGCCTCCGTTCCCAAGAAGTTTTTTTTTATTATCTCCTAAAAGCAAACAGGACAACTAGTGCTTTCATCTTCTCTTGGATATCCTAAAATTTTATTATTTTTTCACAGCGTTTTATTGTCATTACACTGTCACAAGTACAGAGCAACGAAATGAACACTGTGCATTTAACCCATCCCCTTGGGGGGCAGTGGGCTGCCATTGTGCGGCGCCAGGAGAGCAGTGTGGAGTTAAGGGTCTTGCTCAGGGACCCAGAGTGGCAGTCTGTGGGAGTGGGGCTCGAACTCAGAACCTCAGTATTTCAAGCTCTATGCCCTAACCATTAGACCGCCACTTCTCCAAATGGGGAAAGGAGTTGATTTGAACTTTCCTTCTTTAAAAGTGATGGGTAACAAAGGAGTTTTCTTAAAAAAAAAAAAAAAACCTAAAGTACGATAGCTTTAGATTATGCCTATGATTCAAATGAGAGCAGGCTAGCTCACATACCAGCTGTCACTAAACAACCCAGAAGGCGCCGCAAAGCATCTGACCTTTTGACTCCTTGCAGCCGTCACGCAGTAGCTTCAGCAGGTTGATCAAACTATGAAACCTGTCTTTACCTTGAAGACCAACCTGCGATGCTCCAGTTGTCCCCTTTAGCTCCCATTGCACCACATTTTGATCACAATGCCAAACATTTGAATTAAAACCACTCGGCTGAGTAATTACAAACCTGCTAATGAGCTATTTTTCCAAGTGCCAATTCACAGACTCCTCTGCAGCGAGCGCACATGTTCTTGTCGCTTGATTTGCACACGCCTCACAGCTGAGTTAGATCAGATGAGGCATTTTATCTCCATGGCAGCACAGGAAAAGTGATGGCAGAGAGGGGCAAGTGCTGGTGAAAAGGCCTTACACGTTTGGATGGCTCATAGAGTGTGTGTACTTGTTCCAGGGGCACTGCCATCTCCGGCATCGTGTTTGGTGTGGTGTTTCTGATGGGAGCAGTGGCTGCCCTGTTCCTCTGCGTGTGCATGTGCATGAAGAATGGACGCGGAGCGCGGGTCGGCGTGTTCAGCACCTCCTACATCAACACTGTGACCCAGGGCTATCCAGGTGGGTCACAATGTTTGACTGAAAAATAGGTTACCAAATAAAAATAAATTGTGATTGTATTTATCTCTGATGTTGGATGCTGTGCTGCTGAAACAATGTTTGCTCTTTTCATTTCATTTTGGGGCATTTGTTCTTATGCATAACCATAGCAACCATAACAAATCTGTCTTTTTTTTTTTCTTTTTTTTTTACACCCCAGAGTAGCTCATCAAATATCAAATATAGCAAATTCTCCAATAATACTTTAACTCTTTCTGCAAGTCCCAGTTAAAACGAAGGTGCCAAGGATGCAGAGCAGGAGCAGAGAGAGGAGGAGTGAATTAAAGCCATATCTTCAATCGGTCATTATGGGCAATGCTTTCTGAACATACAAGCAGACAGGGATCAAAAGAAGGCTAGAAAACTCCCTTATTGAATCTCTCGAAATGATTTACAAAGAAGAATTATTCATGAAGTAAAAAGCATTATAGGCAACTGTGAACATCCTCTTCAGAAGCCTATTCAACAAAGTGTTTCCTAAGTCAGAGACTTTTACAGATTATGTGCAAAACAGACCTCTGCAGCAGATCTAACCTGCCTACAGCTATCAACATATAAATCAACTTGTTGGGGGGAAAAAAGGCCATATTATTTCAACGTTTAATGTTCTTTTTGGATCAATAAAGTGTCTTGAGAATAAAGGGGCGACTGTTTTTGGTATCCTTCTACAAATCCGAATGCTTGAATTTTGGCCAACTCTTCCTGAGGAGAGAAATAGCTTATTTTTTTACTTGGTAGCCTTTCAGACCATAAAAGATTTTGTGTCACTGTGCCGATAGTCACCCAACCTTTAGCAAGCATATTCACAAGTTTTTTTTCTTTAATTCTGTACTTGATCCACTTGTTTTTTTACTGAATGGCTTTCCTGTCAAGGACAGAGAAACAACCCTCTTCCTTAATATTATGATGATCAGAGATTTCCATAATGTTATTATTATTATCACGGGCCCAAAAGAAAAAGACAAAATACACAAAATCATAAATTTTTAGTAGTAATTCAACTTTTTCCTTTGGATTTATATACATTTTGTTGATTACATTTTTTTTGCTATTTTGTCTGCATTTCCAAATTTACCTAAATCCCCTAAATTTTGCTTTTTCATCTTTTTGGTCCCATTTTTATTTCTTCCATTCAACTTTCCACCAACATGCTTGGAAGGAGCACTCTGTAAACGCCTAGCTTTAGCCAATTGCATGGCAACGATTACCTAGACTACCTTGTTTCTGCAATAAAAATTTTGTTTTTTGGACTTGAGCAGGATGATTACAATTTTTAGAAAAACTAGATTTTGGCTTAGCTGTAATAAAAAAAATAATCCAAATTAGCATTAATAAATGTTTGATATAGTTTGCTTGGTTTTAATTACTGCAATGGCCCAATTAATTGAATACATCATGTTGTAAGATTGACATATAATTGCTTCTAACCTTAGTAGCTGTCAAATGAGGCCATAAGATGGAATTTTACGGCAGTCTAAAGATGAAGTTCTCTAAAATGTAATCCATCCTTCGCCTTTAGGGAGTGTGCCTGAACAAGAGGTGGATTAATGTAAGAGTTTAAAGTGGAAGAACATTTTTCCTTGACCATATTTATTACAATCTGTCGTTGCTTGAAGGCAGAAATTTTTATTTTATTATTATTTATACATTTCTTTTCAATAATCAGATATCATCTTGCATCAGAGCTGGTGTTCTGTGACACTCCTTGACCTTTGTTTCTATTTTTTCTGTCACCGCCTCATCATTTATTCACAATCTTTCATTCACAGCTGCGTTTCTCCTTCATGCGACAGCACCTGAGCTGTTTTCAGGCTGCCCTGTGGCTCCGATCGTATTTCATGAAGACACTTCTTAACCTGATGCAATATCAATACTTATGCATTGTACAAACTGGTAGAAACGGGAAGGCAATATATATTTGCACTAGATGTGGTAATGTTAATTCCATGATTAAAATAGAAATTGATTACATAGGTGCAAAGTATTGAAACAAAATGATGAGAGAGGATATCTCCGATGACCCGAGGGGTCTGACAAGCATCTCTGAAATGTGTTTAGTCTCAACCTTCTGCATGAAACTACCAAATCCTGGCCCATCCATCCATTTATGTTAAAGACTCATCAACTCGGTTATGGATTTGAATATATTATTTAAATATAAATCTTAGTGTCATCAGCAAATGTCTAGTTAAAAATGTTAGATGGAACATAAAGGGAACATATCAATTCAATTCCATTCAGTTTATTTATATATCGCCAATTAACACGTCATCTCAAGGCGCTTTGCAGAGAAAATTCAACCAGATCATACAGTCAGATTAATTCAAAGTTTTCCATCTAAGGAAAACCAGTTGATTGCATCGACTCATTGACTCGAAGTCAATCCCTCACACCTAGCATGCTTGTAGCGACAGTGGAGAGGAAAAAACTCCAGCAGAACCAGGATCAGTGTGAGCGGCCATCTGTCGAGGCTGACTCGGGTTCAAGGAGACAGAAACAGATATAGAAAAAGAGGAAGACATACAAAAGGCCCGGGCCAGGAAACACACAGCCAGGCAGATGATATAGATACTAAATAAAAGTAGACCAAGAAATGAGCCTTGGGGAACTCCTTAAGAAATTATAATTAGAAAAACTTACTAAATCTTAGTCTTCCTGATGTTGTCTGAATCAAATCAACACAATACTTGTCATTAATATGAGAGCTTTGTCAAAATTATTGCATTGGATTTCGACTAGGACTGCAACAAATGATTATTTTGCAAATCGATTTATCTGTTGATATTTTTCTTTTTATTAATCAATTAGTCTGATAGTAAAAGGTTAACTATATAAGACTTTTTATGAAATTGACCCAGTCGCTCTGTCACCTAAAGGAATGTTTTAGAGTCTTTACACTTCCCTTAATGATTAATCAATTACTAAAATAGTTCATGATTATTTCAGTAATCAATTAATCTGATTATTTCGGCCCTAATTTAGACCCAGTATACTTTTTGACGCATCTGAAAAGGCTACCTTAAAAGAGGCTTAATTAATCGGTGACTTAGGAAAAACAACCTTTAAAAATTAGAACATACCATATGCAATTTTCTTTAAACCATGACTCCGACTTAGACAAACTTTATTATCATTTTGTACATGCAGAGTATATACAAAATGGCATTTTATTCAGTACAGCTCTCAAGACATTTCTTAAAGTGCAGCAGTGATAAAATGACATGATTGGTAGTGTTTTGAATGGAATATTTTATGGAATTGTTGGAGCTGTTCCCAATCGCTTTTGCAAGGCGCCGCCATGATCCACATATCCACAAGTACAGTGATTTAAATGCACTAAAGACTCTAAATTCATAGGAGAAAACAAAGTATTCAAAGGGGGAACCTTAAAATGGTTTAAAATTATGCAGGACTAGTTGTGGGGGAAAAATAAGTATTGGATAATTCTCAGTTTTTTTATCTTTAAAGCTGGTACATTTTGTTCTAATTGCAATTGCATAATTGTACCACTAGATGGTGCAATTGCTTTACTGAAATTGGGGACATTTATAGTCACTGAGCCTGACAGGTTTTTAACCATAGCAGAGATATGAGTGTAAATCATATAGTACAAACATTTGTTTTTCTTTCTTTACCACAGGTCCTCCACCTCCTTACACCTACGACTATGAGATGTACCCACCATCGCTACGACCGCCACCCTACACCCCAGCTCAGCCTCAGCAAGCCAGCTACTCCCCGCCTCCTCCTTACCCAGGCTTCAGCCGCAAGTGAATCCCCACCGCTCTGATCACATGCCGGCTGGAGCTTCTTTTATTCCCAGAAATTGGGGAACATGGACATAAATGGACACTCTGCTCCTTGGGTTTACATAGTAAATATGTTGGGATTAAAACTTTAGAGCAGTGAGTCAGAATAACCCTCCTCCACTCACACACACACACACACACACAGTTTTATTGTGCTGCTGCTGCTTTGAAGCAGATATTCTTGTGCAAAGAGAACCATTAAAAAAAATGTGGGTCAGGATTGGAAACGCACACATGCCTCATCACATCAGAAAGACTTAACTTGTTGGCAGCTTAACTGTTCTGACCTGTACTTTCTGCCCCCCTTTGTGCACATCAAAGATACTGCCTATGCTTTGATGAAGTCCTTGTTTTCATCATTTCATATCACGAGTGGGAAGCAAATCATCTAGGGAAAGAAAATTCTTTCTCTCTGTTCATTTTGGAGCTATTTTGTCCCGTTTTAATTTTGTTAGACAAGTGAACGTTTTACATATCAGATCTAGACCTGCTTCATATTAAACTGAAAGACTTGACTTAAGTATATTCAAAATGCTGACTTTAAACCATAGGCAGCTACGAAAACTGTTATATACTTTCATTTGTTTTGGGTTTATGCGCTATTTTTAATAACGCGGGGTATAAATAAACAGATGTTTATTTTAAACTGAAAGTGATTTTTAACTGTGAACTGATGGGGCTTCACCCTTATAAATGTCAGGTAAATATTTGTTTATTTTACTATTTACTGCATTGTAAATTAAAGATGTGTTTTTAAATGCAGACAAAGGATGTATACTCTGGTTATTTACCCTAGGATATGATTTAATTTTTGATTTATTTAAACATATTTAGGTTAACATTAAAAATGACGACTTAATCATCTTGGATCATCTTTGGTTGGAGGAAAGGTCGGGTTTGGCTCAAACTGCAGCTCTGTGAGCCTGCAAGGTTTGTTTTAGGTAGGGATTACTCACTTTAGATTTGGAGCTGGATGGTTTAATGGCGGTTCTAGACAGGGGGGGCAACAGGGGCCCCTGTAGAACAGGGTTCTATAGGCCCCTGCTATGGTACCTGTGCTTGAAACATACACTAAAAATGTTTTAAATGGTTACAGACATTTTTAATGAATTAAGTACATTGATGCATAAATTGTTCTTGTAGAATCAAATGAGTTATGTTAAAAATAAGAAAAAATTAAATCCCTTTATTTTCCTGCAACGGGGAAAATTTACTGTCTGCATTTTAACCCATCCCCGTGGGGTGCAGTGGGCTGCCATTCTGTGGCACCCGGGGAGCAGTGTGGGGTAAGGAGTCTTGCTCAGGGACCCAGAGGGCAGGCTGTGGAGATCAAACTGGGTACTTGCAACCTTCTCAGAGCACAAACGCACTGCCCTAACCACTAGATCAACACTCCCCTCAACCATATCTTTAAGTGAATCATATCTAATTATCCTGTTATAAGGGCAAAAATGCACATTACTTTGAGAGACCTACTCGAATTAAAGGTAAATGTAATTCTAATTATATAGACCAGTTTTTGCAGTGTAATACTGAATTGATTTTTTATGATGATGTGCTGATGGAAGAGACTAAATGGACCAATTTTCTATTTCACCTGTACAATTTACATTTAGAAATTAAAGTCACCTTTAAACTGCAGCTATAGGATCACAGTTTTCGGGAGTCTGCAACCTTGGTATTATGGCTCCCTTAGTATACAAAACAATTTGATCTTGCCCTGTTTTTTTTATTTTTGTGTGTGTGTGTTTGTGTACCTGTCTAGCCCTCAGGGTGAGGACCATTTTCCAATTTCACCATCAAATTGAGGACCAGTTGTTGCAAAGTGACGACATTTTCCCATTCCTCGCATGCTATTTTGCTAATGGTTAGGTTTAGGGCTAAGGTGTCAATTGGTGAGGGTTAGGATGAGGTATGCATTGGTAATGGTTACATTTAGGGTTAGGGCATAGAAATGGTTGAAAATCACTGAAAATCAATGGAAGTCAATGGGGGTCAACACATGGTCCTCAATATGATGGCACAAAGATTATGGGTGTGTGTGTTTTATTTCTTTGTTCCGTGCCCCCCTTGTAAATTACATCTTGAACTTTAAGGGGGAAACAAACAATCTTTAAAAAAGGCATTTTCGCTTTATATAGTCCTTTATATAAACATTAAAGATCTCTAATCATTTGCGTAAGTGATGTCACCAGAGGCGTGATGGTAATCATTTGGGAGGGTGTATTATATTAAGGTGGCTTTCAAAAAAAAAAAAAATAAATAAATAAATAAATAATCTGTACATGACATGATGTTCTAAAGATAATAAAGTAATCCTAAAAATTTTTTCATTGACTTTACAACACAATCTGGTTAGTACGGAAGAGGATTTGGGCCACTGAAAAAAATAAAAAAAAGTTAACTGATTTTAAAATATTATTTCAGTTTAATATGAGAAAAAAGTCAGAATTCTGACTGTAATCTCAGGATTCTCCCTTTTTTCTCAGAATTCTGACTTTTTCTCTGAATTCTAACTGAATTCTGACAGCTAACAAACATGTTAGCATCAACCTGTAGCCATGTCTGTTTAAGAGACTAGCTGTATTGTTTTAATCACCTTCTGCTCTTTTATTAATGAAATAACATGTAAAAAGTTGCCTTAATTTCGTCATTTCTCACCAATGTGTTACTGGCCCTCCCAAACAATTCACATCTTTGTCAGTGAAGCTGAGTGCTCCCACAACTCTTCCTTCATGGTGCCCATCTACATTAAGATCCAAAATTCTGAGATTAAAGTCAGAATTCTGAGGAAAAAAAATCTAAATTCTGAGATTAAAGTCAGAATTCTGAGATTAAAGTCAGAATTCTGAGATTAGAGTCAGAATTCTGAGATTACTCTCAGAATTCTGACATTACAGTCAGACATTACAGTCAGAATTCTGAGAAAAAAAGTCGGAATTCTGAGAATAAAGTCAGAAATCTGAGATTAAAGTCAGAATTCTGAGATTAAAAATCAGAATTCTGAGATTAAAGTCAAATTCTAATATTAAAGTCAGAATTCTTTTTTAAAAAGTCAGAATTCTGAGATTAAAATCAGAATTCTGACTTTTTTCTCATATTATTCTGAAATAAAATTTAAAAATCAGTTAACTTTTTTTGTTTTTTCAATGGCCCTAATCGTCTTCCGTAGGTCAGTCCGTATAACATGCTTATAAATTAATTGTTAAGACATAAAAATAAATAAAAATAAAACAATCAGTGTATATGTACCAAAATAATAATAATAATAAAAAGTGAGCTAGAGAATGATGATATTGTGAGCATGAAAGGCTGCGTTAATCCCACTCTGCTGCGGTCAGGTGATCCGATCCTAGCAGCTGTGCAGCTTCAGGATTTCTCCCCATCAGACAGCGGGAGTCACCGGTGGAGAGCACACCGACACATACGTTACAGACCGTCAGGAGAAAAGCGCTGCTTAGGAGCGTTGCTTTCACAAAGCGACATGGGAGACCGAGTGGCTTTATTGCTGCTGGCTGCGGTGGCCTCGGCTCTAGCTGTAGAGGTAAGAAATATTCGTTTTAAAAAGCTTTTTTCAGGAATATTGTTTTGCTGCCATCTCAGTTAAGCTAGCATCTAGTAGCTAAAAATCCGACCGGAAGTGAGTATTATTTTTTTTTTTAGTTAATGCTAAATGTCATTAAAGTCAAATAAATAACATTAAATATTTTATATATTTTTGTATTAAAATAGGGAAAATAGTTTAATTTTCTCTATTCACTCGAGTGCTTGAGGGTTTAATCGAACAACGTCCTTCATGGTTGTTTTACGCTGAAAGTTTAACCGGAAGTGTTGGGAAAAATATTGAAACCAGTGGTTCTAATGCTATGGAAAAGAGGGCAAAAATAGAGGAATTCTATTATATGTGTGTATAACTGTTGTTTTAAAAAAACAGCTAATGACACATGATGTATTTGTGCGTTTTGTCGTCGTTGTGCGACGGTTAATTTGGTCCAAGCAGTGCGTTAAAACCCCCTTTCCATCTTCATCACCCTTCCTCGCTGTTTTCTGCTTTAAAACAGCCTTTTTTTTGTATTTACGGAATATTAAAGTGTCAGAGTAGCCACCTTCATAACGATAAGAAGAAACAAATAAACGCTGTGGTCATACAGTTGCGTTTTTCTGTTCGTTTCCCCAGCGAATGAACGCGTATTGTCTCATTTTTCCATATCCTGAGGGCTCATATGGGAGTGAGAGTGTTGATATTTTATTAGGAAATAAGACAACGTTGTGTAGCTAGTTGTATTTCACTGAACCCCTGCTTCGTGATACAGCTCAGACTTTAAGAAATGAGGACGTAAAAAGGACTTTTATTTTGGGAAACATATCATAGACACCCCTCGTCAGGTTCAGTCACTCGGGTAGAGAATGGAGAGGTAAGATGGCGGCGGTGCACTGCACCATTTATGGAGGCTCTGGAAGCCAACAGGACATTTAAACATCACGTTTCCCTTTATTCCCCTCTTTCTCACGCATTATTTACAGTTTATCAAATGAGACGTTTAATTTAACTCAGCAGGATGTTTTCAACCACAGAGCTGCTCGTGAAAAAAAAGAAAAATCACTGCCCATGTATTTTTAAGCTTTTTTTTGCAGAGTATTGCAATAAAGATTCATATCTATCACATGTGACGTCATTTAAATGTGGACCAATTTTGGCTGAACATCCCTTTTTTAATTAAAACATGTTTAAAGAATACTACACAGTCATTACTACTTATTTATATGTATTATCAAGACCAGAAAAATTGATACTATTTATTGTAAATAATAAAAGCTTCATAAAATATATATATATATATTGATATGCTTAACTGAGACACAAATAATCAGCTTTGAACAACAAGGTGTTTGTTTAGATTTTATTTTCCAAATAAAAACCTTAAGGTTTTTCCTCAAAATCAAGATAGTTTTTTTTTCCATGGTTATATGGAACCTGGGCCTTAAAAAAACATTTTGTATCAATGTAGATTATTAGAAAACTGGGATTTACACAGTAAAAAAAGTTATTTGTGTAGATATACTTAACTGCAGCCCATATTATAAAAAAAAATTATCATTATTGCTCATCAACTGAAGCTCTAATGATGACTGGTAATGGCTGATGGTTATGGTTATATATATATATTAATTTAATACAATTACAGGGACTAGGGTTGTCAAAAGTATCAATATTTTAAAGTATCGATACTGAAAAGTTGTATCTGGATACAATACTCATTTTCAAAAGTATCGATACAGTGCTACCACCAGTGGCACCTAAACAGTCATTCATCTTATGCGCAGATTAGAGGAAAATGCACTTTCTGAACACTGTGTGATTGAATAACTCTGTGCACTTTTCGGTTTCAGGCTTTTTTCTGTAACAGATGCAGCTGCTGAGAATTAGTTTTGTTTTTTAACTGGTTTGGCTAGTGTCATTGTTATGTGTGTAAAGCATAGCCAAGGAAGGAACACAATTTTAATTTTGTAGGTTTTTTATCAAGCTTGCTTAATATTGTGCACAGCATACAACCTCAAAACATTGTTTATTGTATTTATTTATCTATTAATTGTATTTTGTTTATTAATGAAAAAATTTCTGTTGGATTTTGGAGTCTTTGTTTTTATCCTTGTGGTATCGAAAATGACATCGAGTATCGAATATTTTACTTGGTATTGGTATTGAGTTGAAAAGTTTAGTATCGTGACAACCCTAATAGGGACAGAACAAGAACACAAACATTTGCAGACCTGTCCCTAAGACAAAACAAATACATGCAGTAAGGTACAAACATAGAAATCACAAACAATTTACGGAAGTTGTGCAAAATTGTTCAAATTTTCACAGGTTTGAATGGATTTGAGTCATTTTTATACTTTGTTGTTGAATTGTTTCAGGTCAGTGAGGTTTTTTTTCAAAATCGGGCAGGTATGGTTGTCTAGATCTGAGGCCATTTAACTGAATTAGCTTTGGGTTTTTTGTTTTTGTTTTTTTTTTGTAGAAAAAAGAATGAATGTGGCAGTTCAGTGTTTGCACAAACCGTTCTTAACATAATTTTATTTTGTATTTAGTAATCAAGTTTTTAATTAAAAGCTAAATAAGAATCTGATATCAGACGGACATGTTGATAGAAAAATGTACAGTTTTCATCAGCATTATAAAGCAGAAAAAATATATTATTTGGATTGATTTGTTTAGTTTTTTCTTATTTGTTTGCATTTTTGCTGTTTCTTTTTTTTCAGCTTTATTAAACTACATTAAACATAAGAAGGGTTGAAGTGTTTTATCCAGAGTTGTGTCAACAACAACTAAAGATATGTAACATCATGACTGGTTGTAAAAGATAAGCTTAAAAACAGACCATGTCTGTTTGCTAATTGGTGTGGTATCAATTAACTGGATTGAATTGCATTTAAGCTTATAAATAAATTTACCGGTCTATTACACCGTGTAACTACTTGTTGGCTATTTTGACTCATGGCCGAGGTGAAATGAGGACACTGATTACTCCACTGTTTCCTCCTGTAATCAGTGGGTTTGAAATGAGTAGGTTTCAGCATATGCTTTGTGCATCGAACAAATCTGAGGTCAGTGCAGATAGTCTGCGCTTTTTTTGAAATCCGGGGTTTACATTCGTGACTTCAAAGGAAGCGGTGATACAGTGTGATTAGCTGCTTAAATGCTCAGAGTTAATTTGAACAAGATTGGCTCTGAGTTGAAAGGAGATGTTGAAAGTTTTTGATCTTGTTGGGGCTTGATTCTTGCCTTCGTGACTGCTATCCAGTACACACAAAATCACCCTGGCTTAAATATACAAGTGAAGGAAGCTGCTTTTCCTGCACAGTGAGGCTGTGGGGCGTGGGAGCAGGATGACGGCCTTTGTGTTTTTGTAAGCATTTGGGAAATGCCTCTTGGATGGTGCACAGTCGTTTGCGTGTGGACTGCAGTCTTTCAACCTGGGGCAGACCAGCCTTCTCTTATTAGAAGGGCCTAATTCCATTATGACTGCCGGCGCTGCCAGTGTTTCTCTCTCTGGCAGCTTCTCTGTTGCTCACGCTGCAGTTTTTAGGTCTGTGAAGAAGAAATCCACTTCACACCAGAATATCTCATATAGCTATTGAGATTTTTTAAAAGCAAGGAAAACCTTTTGACTGGTTTAGAAATGAGAAATTAATATGTTATAGTTTATTATTTGGAATGATCAGTTAAACATATTTGGGCTATTAGGGTTATTTTCTAAAGGTTTTGAGTTGTTATACATGAAGACAATATGATTTCAATAACTACAGCTGCTTCTCTAATTATTTAACTTCGTTAAATTAGAAAAACTGGCTCCATCCACACACGTGATGTTCCATTTTTAAAGTCAGCTATTTCGGGTGACATAATTTCGCAAACAGAAAAAAAAAAGTAAATTGACCTAATTGTTGCTGAGTTGTCAGGCTTTGGGTCTATTATGTTTGACCATCATTTATTTTGTGTTCATTATTGGACCGCTTTTTGATCTCTGCTCTGAAACAACCTTGTTATATTTGTATGAGCCATATGGGCAGGTTGGACGAATGTCTCACTCTCTGCTGGATTCTTGTCATCAGTGCCATTTTAAAACTGTGTCCTGCTATTTTGGCTAGTATGTGCGGAGTGTCAGGAGCGTTGACGATGGCAGTTTTTTTTTTTTTTGCTTTATATCTAACCCTTTTGGGAAGAAAAAGCCGATGTTTCATACCAACCAAATGTCACTTTATTCTCACCTTTGGGGAACTGTGTATAGTCTTTGACAACTAAGATATATATAGTTGTTGTTTTGTTTTGTTTTTTTACATTTCCTTTAATTTACTGGTTCCTTTAGGACTAGGGAATGGAAATAACTTGTTTGAAACAATCTTGGCGTAATTTCAATCGCTCCCTGCCCCCGTCAGGAAGTACACAGATGTCAGAGAAGTGTGAAGCATTCCAAGCTAAAGTGAGCTGTATCTATGGAGCACTTGATACTAAAGTAAGAATAGTTGTCTGGAATGTGAATGTTTGTTGCAGTAGAGTTTTTAATAAGGAAAAATTTTAACTTTAGGTAATCATTACAGCAATGTTTAAAAATACATATTGATTTTGTCCTAGTTCCAGGTATTACTCAGTTCTTCATGGTATAAGTGGCACTAAATGTTGGCTGTTTTTTCTTTCATTTTCTCCATTAAAGCACCATTAACCCTTCAGTTAACACATATACTGGTATAAATTCGGCCCTTGTTTTTGTCGTCATGGTAACCAGGAGAAGACTGACTAGCGAACATTCCTTTAGATCCGTCCAGCCATCGTTCCCGCCTGTATGCTCGCCGTGTGTTTGTGTTCTCCCCTCTTTTGAAAGCACGTTAGGAATCCAGCAGTGCTGATGTTGCTGGTTAGAGTCCTGCTTTGTGCTCCCGATAAATGGGAGATATAAAGAATGAGAAGGTGAATCAGAAGACTATAAATCTATATATAAATCTATAAATCAGTGGTCTAACTTTCTGGCCCTTTTAGGTTTT